TATATATATATATATATATATTATAGCATTTTTTTTTCACATACATATACATACACCAGCGAGGGGTGCATGCGCACGTGGGTGTAAACAAAGGTCCTCCTATACGCTATCTTGTGAACAATTCATCATTCTACACAGCTCCTAGAATGAAGAATTACAAGAGTTTGGACGCCTACAAGTATTTTTTTTAAACACAAATCATGTCAGGTGAGCACCAACCAATATCTTTAAAAACAAATTCACACATGCATAGGCTTTAAAATATAAAATTTTATTTAGTAAAGATAATGAAAAGCTCTAAAAAGGATTTGTGCCTCGAATTAATGCTGGCTGCTCCGTGTATTTAGCCCAGTGACGTGCGGTCAGATGAGGCCTTAGATCATGGAAAATAAAAAGAACAAAATGGAAACAATAATACTTGGTCATTATATCAAGTGATTTGTGCGATTGTATTAATTCAATGTAACTTATTTCATTTTTTTTTTTTACCTTGAAATTGCATATTTGACAGAGCGGCGCTGTGAGGCGAGCCTCACTTGAGAGACGTAAAAGCCCATAGCTCACAGGGGAAGAGGCCCGTGCGCTGCTATCGAAATGTTTTCTCTATTTATCGCGGTTTACAAAGTTCAACTTATTTCCTTTACAATCAACATCTCTACAGTTGAGAGGATGGGTCATAAATAGGGGTGGGCGATATGGCCTAAAATTCATATTTCGGTATAATTTGGGACACAGACTGTAGACGGTGTTATAGAAATATTTTAGTAAAGCAATCTGAATTAACACCTAATAGTTATGAGTGTAAGTTATTAACTAATAGTCAACTCTGGATTCAGATACAGGCCATAATGCTCTGTTGGCAGCAGGTCAGTGATAGATGGAGACGTGCTGCATCATGTCTTTGACCTGGTTCATAGAACAATATGTTCAGGTCAAAAGCAGATTGTTACATATATCAGAGTTGTATCAGCGTTAGGACGCGTAAAGAGAAGCCTTGAGCAACACATATCAATGTTGACTTCATTTATGTAATATCTAGAGTAGATATGTGTTTGTTTACTCTGGTCTATTTAATGTACAGTCATTTCCTCAATCGTGGCAGTCGATTTCGGACGGCTGCCCGGTGGTTTTGGTATCGGTTCTGTTATTCATTGTAATTGTGCACATTTACTAATGAATAAACTCACACTTCGAATTACAGCTCTGAGTTGTTTACATTATTTTATTCTCGTTATGTGCAGACCTACCCCCCACCCGGTATAGCAGGTATACTTTCGTGAGTGCCTATACCCTATCGGTTAGAGGATCCCATTGACTCCCATGTCCCGATGGTTCCATCATTTTATATAATAGCAATCTACACATAACTCATATATCGAATTCCCCCTCCGTAATTCGTATACTATACCCCCCCCCACCACGTATATTCCTCCGTCATGATTCAGTTAATCGCCCTAAACTAACTTACATCACACAGAGCCACCAGGCATATTTGCCAACCCGCTAGCCTGCAAGACCCTGTGGATAGTGGGTTTCCAATCTGTGTACGCAGCACCAGCCCCATACAGGGGACCCCTGATGGGTGGCCGTATAGGCACCATATATCGATCCTAATAAAAAACACTCACGGAACCAGGCCATTTCTCCTCAGGTTAATATAGCCTTACACAACCTCCCCGACCCGTCCCTGTGACTACCCAATTACCGGCATGGTTCGTTGGGCTACCATGTCATAATATATATACTATATTTAGTCATACAACTTATAACACAGCATCATCCCGTCACCCGTATGTTAACCAACGTGGTCTAGACATTTGTGTTGACGCACCTGAGCCTTTTTCAGCGCTTGCAGCCCTGGATTTGGATCCAAGCCCCGTGATGATACAAGATGGCGCCCTCTGCATGGCTAGTGCTCGTCTCGAAAGGGGCCTATCATGGCGACGGGAGATTCGTGCACTACGCCTATCTCTTGGGCCATCGTCTGGTCCTCCGGTATACACGCAGTCTAACATCTATTGCTGCCGGGGCATGATCCACCTCCATCGCACAAGGCCTTTCTTGTTCTTTTACAGTCCGTGCAGCTCCCGGTTAGGCTAACAACAAACATCACATCTTATATACACACTGCACACGGGTATCCTACCAGATACCCATGCAGCTATCTGCCTGAACAGGCCGCGCGGTGCGTTTACTTTTGAATTTTCGCTCTTGGAAGCCGTCGGCAGCCCCTCGCAACCCCGAGCGGCGTTTCTGGCGGCGCCACGTTTGTATTTTACTTTTTACCCACTCCATTGACCCTACTTACAAATGGGCTTCTATCGGCGCACCACCTATTATTGGACTGTCACATACAACACTGGTCTGTGAGGACCTAGGACCGACCCCCTCCCCCCCCAAAGATATGTCTGACCCCACACAGCGGCAACAGTACGCTCACACATTGTGACTACGCCGCCTCTATAGGCCGTGTTGATTTAAACTGCTCTCCATGTATATATGTACATATCCAATCACCAACCTCACCGCACGTCACTGATTTAGCCGATACCTGAGGCCTAATATTCTGTGATGATATCTGAATTTTTTTTGAGCTATTGTGCATGTTTTTAGTGGTAGGGGAAACGGAGTACCCGGAGGAAACCTACGCAGACACGGGGAGAACATGCAAACTCAACACAGAAAGGCCTGGGGGTGGAATCCAACCCAGGACCTTCTTGCTGTGAAGCACAAGCGTAACCGCTGTGCCACCGTGCCGCCCGTCTGACACTGTGCAGATCCAGAACAGCGTTCTGAGAGATTCCAGAGTCTTTGTGAGCCGCAGAGGTTCACTGCTGATGAGTCCAGCACAGGTACCAGCATCAGGGACTTCAGGGTTTGTTCACTGATGGTTGTAGCTGTCCATGAAGCTCCTCTGGTCCACTGACGGCCTACTGTGGCTGCAATACTGGATCACAAGCACAGACCCTCTTCCTGAAGACCTTATGTATTCAGTCCGCTGTTGGAATAGTCCCTTTCGATTTCTGTGCTATCCACTACTGAGACTAACATGACGTGTCTGAGACTGTTTCTCTCATTCCCTCATTATATTCTCCTTTTGCTCATTCTGAGACTTTTTGAATCTTGTTTCACCTTTTCCATAGTTACAGCACATGACAACATGCACTTACGTCCCCTTCTTTCCCTCTATGCTGCCATCTCTCGTATCCATGTTGTTTCTCGCCCGCACCTACTCTGTTTTACCTCCCTTACCTATAATTTAGGGGGAACCATTACCCTAAATCCCACCCCATATCTTATTACTTTCCCTAGTTCGTAGTACTACTGTCACTCTACCAAGCTCAAAGTTTCTTTCAACATAATCATAAACTTTGCTACATTTGATTGCAACCAGGTGAACATCTCCACGGGGCTATAACTTCCCCCTCATCCTCCACGAGGTGTTTCTTGGGCGCTGGCAGGGATGGGGGCGGAGAACTCTCTCCATCCCTCAGTCGCCCTGTTGTAGCCACACAGTTTGTTGTCCACCACACTCCCATGTTTCAAATACCCAAAAAAAAAATCACTTCCCCCCCTGCACTGTGATACATCCAGTTATCTCTATGAACGGAGTACACCACCCGGTCGCTAATACGGCTCAAACTCTTGGTTGAGCGCAGAGCGGGCCGTCCAACATTTATAGGTACCTGCGGGCCGTCAGGCTGCCCTCTCGTGTCTTGTGATGTGGCCCTCTTGTCCTGCTAACCCACAACGTGTACGTTAGAGTATCATAGATAAGTTTCCATCATCCCGTTTCATAGTGTATCAGCTTCAAACTTCAGCTTCACCAATAGAGCTGTGATTGACTCCCCATAAGTCCCGCTATGGCAAGCTTGCAGTTGGAGAGGATGTAACCACTATTCCAGTCACCCCTATCCGCATCCCGTTCGCATGGTGACTACACTAACCGAGCTTGGCCAAGATCCGGTGAACAACACCAGATTTCAGTGTGTTGCCAGGCCCCCAGGGACCGTTTAGGGACTAAGTGTCTTACTATAGTAACTACCCCATCGAAAACTCCGTGTCCCCCTAGATCCACCACCAATCCCAGTTTTGATACGGCACCTGCCGAAGGGCGGCCCTTTCCTTAAGGCCTATCTCTCTTGCGTTAAAATTTTCGTCCACTGGATACAGTGTGTTGTTACCGCTGCAATTCCAAACTCTTTTTACTGGTCCATCTTCACTATTGGTTAAATATCGACAGATGCACAAGCACTCACTCCACTACACCACACGTGTTTCCTTGACATTAGCTCCGCGCCCCTGACCATCCCCCACACCAGTTGGATCTCCAACAATCCCGACAACATAGTGTGTACATTGTTAGACCATTCCATCCACCGATTTTGTCCTGCTTATACAAGATGTGCTGGATATTTTGTTTTTTTGCATCTATGTGGGGTTCATGCTTCATTTACTTCCACACGGTTGATTTTTGCGTGTGTCAGCGTCAACCCACCCAATTGCCTCTCTTGTTCTACCCCACTGGACTACATTGGGTTTGGCACTGGTTGCCTGACAGGAAGGTGGTCGCAGGCTTCTGCTTTTGTGGGAGGTCGACTGGTTGGGATTCAGTATGGATGTCTCCGGGGGTCCCCTGGTGGGGTCTGGTGGTAACAAACCTATACAGGGGGTTGTCCCATGACCTCTGGGGGGTCCCGGCTGGGACTGGCCGTTGACCATAGCTCTGGCGGGTTGGAAACCGTTTTAGACCACTGTGGTTGAGCGTTAGCACATGCGGCTGACCATCGAACGGTCGGTTGGACCTTAGGTATGGAACATTGCCATGGATCGGGGGATTGGCCCATACATTGGAGGTGGGCCATTGCGCGTTATAAAACGGGGCTGCCCCCCCAACCCCCCCCCCCCCCTTGCTATGATATGTCAAGCATAAAGTGTTTTTATTCTGACTAAACGGTTGTCTTTAGCGGGCCCACTATCGGGTCTTTTGGCCGTGGTGCTCATCTTCTTGTGCACTCTGGCTTTCTCCTAAGGACGGCGCTTGGTCTCTGGCCTCCGATAGCTCTCGCCACCATACTCTCGCCGAGGATGGTTGTAGCGTTCGCTGACCTGCGTTGGTACTGCCATGCATCCTGCTTGATGGCTCCTCTAGCTCTGACTCTGTAAATCCTGCAGGCGTTCAGCGGTTTCTTGATATACCGGCCTCCCAGCGTCCTCTGCATCGCCGCCTCATCTTCTCTTGTTCCACTACTGAATGTTTGGAAGGCAAGTCAACTTGCTACTGATTGTTTTGGCTCCCCCACTGACCTCACGATGAGGACCTCTTAATCCATTGCTACTTCCCTTTGCCGGGGCCCATTTCCTGCCGTTGCTTGGGATGTCTAGTACCACCGGTTGCTTTTCCTGGCACCTTTGCTGGTCCTTGGATTCATCGCTGGACACTGCAGGGTTGGTCCTGTGTGGAGGGATACCGGCATCGAGTTTTGGTCCCGGGGATCATAATCCCTGTTTACAGGGCGCGGCCGGGTTGAGCGGACGTTTGCCGTTGTCCTGTTGGCAGAGGGCATGGGGGCCATTGGGGAGTCAGGCGGCCAGTTGTGCCGGGTAGAAAGAAAGTCTTTCGTGGGGCAGGTCACCCCGTGGACGGTTGTGCGACCTCTCTGTCGTGGCTGGCGCACGTCTCCCACAGTGGCGACTGCTCCGCGTTGTCAGTTGCCGCCTCGGGGGTTGAGGCAGGTGGCCGGTGACCATGGCTGCTCACAATGCGCCCGGTCTGGTGAGGCATCGGACCATCGCTGTGCCTCTAACTGGGCCTCACCCAGGGCACTTCCACATTGCATCCAGAGCCTCTTCTGCGGAGATAGTCATGATTGGCTGTCAATAAACAACCCAACACATTTTATTCTACAAGTCATTGCGACCTGTTCGCCTATGGTATGCCTTTCTACACAACGTGCTTTTGCTGGCATTTCCCGTTTATTACATTCCAGTTTCTAGCACTTATCCAGGCCCTACTACAATCCATTCTTTTTATCCCTCTGTCAACAACATGTTTGGGGATCTTTTTCCTGCATTCTACATTCGGTATGCAATGCGCGTTGTCATAACTGTCGGCTCTGGGAGTTCTCGTAATTTCTTACCCGCTGTGGGAGAGTTCCTTGTGTTACTCACCCTACTCCAATTCTGCTGCTATTTGCTAACCCACTCTCCCTTTGGACTCACTGGGCCTCCCCGAGGGCTGCCATAAGCATCCTGCTCCCGCTCCCTTTTTCTGCTGGAGCTTACCATGCCTTGATGCCTGTAACACCCAATCCAACCCCTTCTGCTCACCCATGGCCTTTCCAAACCTTTCTGCTGTTGCCAAATGCGGTCTACAAATACTTTTAATTACGGACTTTGTATTTTAAAGTTCTATATGACCTGTGTTGTGCTGTCGGCTGGCTCCACCTCACAATCAGCCAACTCTCAATTTATCTATGTACCCGACCGTCGCTAAGTTGGTCGCGCCTTCACCTTTGCGCCTGCCAGGTCACCTGGCTGCTGTGTACCTTGGGCCAAGCGCCCCTAACCCCCCTTCATGTCCGCCTCCTCGCATGTCGGTGTTTTCACTTAGCGCTCTCATGTGAGGTCCCCAGGGGCCCAAGGCTGGGAGGGGTGTTCTTTCTATCATGTTATGTGCTATTAGCGCATATTCCCCCCCCCTCCCCCCCCCCCCCCCCCCCTTGCCTAGTGCGGGCCCCTCACGTGTGTTTGTCCCACGGGGCCAGACTATTGGTGCTAGTCCCCTGCTAGTGCACCCTGACGTTATGGAGCGAGATCTGGTCCCTTTATACAAATGGAGGGCTGGAGCTGGGGGACACCACTGTCACAGCGGCCTTATTGTCCCTTCAAAGCATTTCGCAGTGCCTTACACTGCTAATTTATCATTTCCCCTCTAGATGGGGGTCACCCCCATCCCGGTTGTACCCTGTATTGTTAGTACTAGAATTTATATTATGCTGCTCTCCCGAGCTATATATACTACACAATAGGTGTTTATAATATTTCATTTAGGGGGTTCAATTTTGACCTGTTCAGATGACTTATGTCACACCAAAACGGCTTTTGAAGTGGAGCCCTTTCGGTTCCGCATAGAAACGGCTTGGGGGCGCCCAAAAATGGCGGCGATTGGCGTTTGGCGTACTGTCCTTCTCACGCAGCCGACAGCCGTCTTCGCTTATAGACGGGATTGGACAACTGTTGGGCGGTTTCACTGATCCATCTGCACAGGTTTTCCCCCATCTTTTCCTCGTTTCTACGTACATTTTAGTGTGCAACTCTTTGTCATCCTTTCTAGCATTTATTTGTGAGATTCGCGCTATCTCGTGTTGGGGCACAGTTCGCTAACTCTACACCTTGATGACCAGAGCTCCTGATTCGTTAATTTCCCTTACTATCCGCTCTCACCTTTGGTTAACCTTAGGATTTTATTTCCCACAATGAGTCCCTTGTAAATATCCCTTAATGCTACACACCTATTCACGGTTTATCTTCGCCATTTTGTCTCCCTGAATTGCCTCTCACTGATAGTCTTTGTTTTCAATTCTTCTGCAGCTTTTTGTTACTCAATAGTACACCTCTCTATTTACATTACATTATCCCGTTACTTTCGCTTACGCCATTTTTGTTAATATACAATTTGTCCATGGTAGGTCAATATCAATCTAAGGCAACCCAAAGTGACGGATTGGGGCATACTTGTAACAATCGGCCTATTAGCCTTGTATAGCATGTATTTTTGACTTTCACGTAGCGTTACGCTATCTTGCCCACACACTAGTTCGCTTGATATCTCACAACTAAGGCTAAAGTGTTCCACGAGATGACATATTCTGTACCAAAGGATAGCAACAATGCTCTATCTTTTCCGATGACAGTGCACACCTTACCCAGTTTCCCCGCAGCTAGCTGCTGTGCAGTGCGCTAGGCCTACTTCTCGTCACCCGGCCCAATTGGGCCCCAAGCGTTTTTGTTAAACAGTGCCACTACACCAGCCGTTTATTTTTTAAATACATCTTGGAACATGTCAACATGACCACCGAACTCTTATCCCCCCCCTCTTGTGTTCAACTTTGGATAGCGCCTAATCCCATTCTGCTGTCAAGTAGTACAGCTCCACCTAATCCCGATTCACCGTCTCACCCTACTATTGTGAGAGTCTACCTGCTGCGAAACCGAGACGTTTAGAATACGTCCTGCATGAGCAGAAGCTCCCAACCATACCCAGGCAAATCGAACATTCGCCGCGTGACCGACACACGAGTTTTATCATCCGGCTTCAATCTCACCACCCCCCGGCGCTCTTGTGTGAGCTGCCGTATTATTTCCAACTATTGGGACACCCTGGGGCCACAGTGTTCTATAGAACCCTGACATGTTCTCTAGCACCATGACATCACTCCCCTTACATCCATTCACTTTAGTATTAATCAGGCCTAAGCTCTGGTTTTTAGATCTTGTTAAGTCGGTAGCGAGTATTACACACCTTTAAAAGTGTTAAGTTACAACTAAAGCGGCTCAATTATTCCTACCCACAGACTTCACCCGCCCCAATCAGTGTTAATGCCCCCCCCGCACCACCCCCCCCGCACTATTACATAGTTTAGGCCACATACGTAAGTTTACTACGAAAACCACTGTGTCTTTGTTGCTAGCCATTTCACATTTTGACGTTTGATCGTGCATATGGTGCCCCCAGCATGTAGTGCCCCAGAACCCTAAGCCTACCCCCTTCTTGAACTGACTACCACCAACACTCGCAAGAAAACCTGGCGACCGTTTTTCCAGTTGTATTTGAGATCGCCAATTTTTTGAGGTTGCAACCGCAGATAAGTATTTGTTATTCATGTTTAAGCACACGTCTATGTTGGGACTTCTGAGAATGGTAAAACCCGTCGTACCCCATTGTTTTGCTCACTTTATTAGACCCCACGTGCTTCCACAATGGGTCCCCGTTCGTTCTTCTAACAACCTTGCGTGACTATGTACCTGTCTTTTTTTACAGTGCATCGTGAATATTTTGTCTCAATATAGGAGGATCTTGGAGTGACGTCGTAGTTTTATTGTTTTATCTACGCCGGTCCCGCGATCGTGTGGCACTACAGCATCGCAAGAACCAGGATGCTAGAGCGTTAGCTATTTTTTCGACATTTGTAGAGAGGTTTTCCTACATCAAATGGTCCATTCTTGTTGTGTTGTCGTTGTCCGGCCGCTGGGGACAGATGACGTTTTTTTTCTAATTTTTCGGACAAGCCGCAAAAAATGATGTTCACTCATATCATTCTTGTGCATGCACCATAATTTTAACACGTAAGTAACAGCAACACACGGCAACCGCTTATCATGTGTCGGCGAAAACGCGAGAAATGGAATATTCCACGCCCCATCATTGACGAGGCAGGGCCGGGTTTTTCTGCTTCTAAAGAATGACATGTCACTGAGTCCCGGTCCCAGCAGCTCGGGCCACTACCGAGGTGCGTTGCCCATGGTTTAGCTCAGGCTTCATGCCACCCCGAGCGCGGGGCGCACTGCTCACACGGGTGTCAACAAAGCTCCTCCTATAGGCAATATAGTTCATTGTACCTGGACTATCTTTTCGTATCCCTTTTACGAACTCATTACACCTGCTTAACGCCACCGTCTGCAAGTCATTGATGTGAGAGCGGAGTTTAAGCGCCCTAGCTGTCCCCCCAGCGCCACATATTGTCTGATTTTAAATTAAAATATTGCTTATAGGTGACCGGCTTTCCCTTCCACGTGCCCCAATCCCTATACCCGTCTTTACCTACCATTACAATCTCTACTTGTCTAGCTAAATCCCCCCCGCAGTCTATCCCCCGGCAGGGGGGGGGGGTACAAACCATTCCATTGCACCCACCCCCCAGCTCGAGACTTACCAGTACAGACACAGCACCCTACACACATAGATTTGGTCCCTCGAGGAGCGACAATAGTCATGAATGTTGCTACATGTCATACATGTTGTAGACTGTCACAAGTGTCCTGGCTTCCTCCCCCCGTCCTTTTTTTTTCGGAATCATGTCCCTCAGAACCTCCTGCATCGGAAGGAACAACTCAAACCAGTGTCTGCACTTTGTCCAGTGAATTTGCCTCTATCTTATGCTTTCCATGGTTTTCATGCCATTTTCACAACCGCCACACTTAAGAAGAAAGGACAATGAAAGAGTGGACATTATAAGTACATGGTGTTCATTGACCCCAACCTGGTTGGACTCACACCACAGAGCCCTCTTCAAGCAGGGCCAGAGCCGACTACTACTGATGCGGCGGTCAGTTTTTGGAGTTCAGGGGCACCTCAGAAGAACTTCCAGACTTGTGGTGGGGCTCTTGTCCGGCTGTGGTAGAGGCGCAGCGCATCACCAGGGGGGGAAGGAGAAGGGACTAGGTATTATCCGGCCGTACCCGGTCAGATGGCAGTTCCTGGAACCGTGCAGCCGGAGGGGGCCCGGGGGACCATTTAACATATGTTTTGAACTATCATCACCAGTACAGCCCAAAAGTAAGGGCACTTTTACTTTACTGGCTCGCTTTTTTTCAGGGGCATGATGTAGCTTCCACCCCCCAGGCTGGTGTAAAGGCTGTTTGGGCCCCAACAAGGGCAGGATGGGGTGTGGGAGCAGACAGGCACACAAATCACGGACTGCCCCACATCCAGATGGTTTTGGTGATGAGCAGAACCCGCGTGCAGGTGCAAGGGCCCAACAAGTGCTACCGGCCACAGTGGGA